CGCGTTTTCGACGATTCGCTCGAGTTTCACGGATTGAAGGCGGCTCGGTTTCAAAATCAAGCTCTCGTCTTGGCGCCGCGCACATCCGCCATAAAAATGTAACGAAGTACGCGGATTGAGGGCGAGTCGGTTTCAAATGATGGCTCTCGTTTTAGCGCCGCGCATATTGGTTTTTTTTTTTTACAAAAATGCGCACGAATCCTGACAGTCTATAAGCACTGAGTTTCTAAGCACTGACTCGCTCAGGAAATTTTAATCACTGGCAGCCGTTCGCCCGCCCCATCCTAGGCATCCCGCCCGCCCCGCACGGAACAATATCTTCAGCACAGCGGAACCGCGAACATAAACATTCTCGCCCGCGAGACATCATAGGAGCGCGGAAAATCGATTTCCGCCATCCGACGAAACGACGTAATGATTCATTAATCAATATACAGTAATAAGCAACAGACATAAGTAGTATTTAGAAATAATAGAAATAGTAACACTAATGATTATAAGTAGCGTTGTAATGCAATCGCAATAATATAACACCGGTAATTAATATTTGGTGTTCGAAGAAATACCCAAAATACTGTCAATGCTCGCGCTAATCTCAAGAAGCACTACTATATAAATCTCTGAGAATAGCATATAAATATATATATATACATATATCAAGTTGTTTCCCTCTCCGAACCGCCCCCGCCACATGGGATTCGCATTGCCACCCCACTTTTTTCCAGGCGCAGCCAACATGACAATTTTTCCATTGTTGGCAAATGCAGAGTTTCCCACGCGCGCGTCCGCGCGCGCGAGCGCAATCGGGTGACCCGAGCGCGGGCGGGTCACCCGAAATCCGGTTGGTCACCGCCACGACTTCCCTTTACTTTTCAATGCCGACATGGAGAATTTCCTTTTGTGGGCACTACAGAACGCGCCACACGCGCGTCTGCGCGAGCGCGATCGGGGGTCACCCACGCGCAAGCGGGACACCCGAAATCCGGTTGGTCACCGGTAAGAGCCCAGTTCAGTTTGCAAGCCGACAGAACGACTTTTCCATTGTGGACAATAAAGAATTCTCCACGCGCGCTTCCGCGCAGGCGCGCAAGCGCGATCGGGTGCCCGAAGCCTGGCTGACCGAGTTGAGCCTGTGCTGGCGACCGGGTGACCCACGCGCGGGCGGGTCACCCGAAATCTGGTTGGTCACCGTTAAGGTTTCACTTCAGTTCACAAGCCAACATGACTTTCCAATGGTGGACACTACAGAAATCGCCACGCGCGCGTCCGCGTGCGCGCGATCGGGTGACCCACGCGAGGGCGGGCCACCCGAAATCTAATTCGGTCACCGTTAAGGGCTCACCTCAGTTCCCATGCCAACATGGCGACCTTTCCATGGTGGACAAATACAGAATTCCAAAAGAGCTCATAAGGCCTTATAAGGCGCATACGGCTCTTAGGGCTCATAGGGGTCCTGGGGCTCAGAAGGCTCATGGGGTTTGTGTGGATCACAGGGCTCATAGAGCTCATAGAGCTTGCAGGGCTTATAGGGCACATGGGACTCATCGAGATCATGGGGGATCATAAGATTTACGCGGCGCTCAAGCGAGAACCACATTTTGAAAACGAACCGCATCCGGGAAACTCTTGCAAATTGATAAAACGAGTGCGGGCGGCGCTAAGGCGGGAGCCAAATGCTGAAAACGAGCCGCCCTCAATCCGTGAAACTCTTGCAACTTTTTCAACACGAATTTGCGCGGTGCTGAAGCGAGAGCTAGATTTTGAAAACGAGCCGCCCTCCATCCGTGAAAGTCTTGCGAGTTTTAAAATCGAATTCGCGCGGCGCTGGGGCGAGAACCACATCCTGAAAACGAGCCGCCCTCCATCCGTGAAGCTCTCGCAACGTGTTCAGAACGAACGTGCGCGGCGCTGAAGGGAAACCACATGTTGAACACGAGCCACGCTCCATCCGTGAACCTCTTGCAACGTTTTCTAAACGAATGCGCGCAGTTTAAGGCGAGAGCAACAGTTTGAAACAGAGCCGCCCTCCATCCGTGAAACTATTGCAAGGTTTTCAAAACAAATGTGCGCGGCGCTGAGGCGAGAGCAACATTTTGAAAACGAGCCGCCCTCCATCCGCGAAGCTCTTGCAAGTGTTAAAGTTGCTAAGGCGAGAAAGACATTTTGAAAACGAACCGCCCTCAATCCGCGAAATTCTTGCCACGTGATTACAAAGAATGTGCGCGGCGCTGAGGCGAGAACAACAGTTGAAAACGAACCGCCTTCAATCCGTGAAACTCTTGCCACGCGTTTACAAAAAATGTGCGCGGCGCTGGGGCGAGAACTACACTTTGAAAACGAACCGCACGCAACCCGTGAAACTCATGCCACGTTCTTAACAAAGAATGTGCGCGGCGCTGGGGCGAGAACAACATTTTGAACACGAGCCGCCCTCAACCCGTGAAACTCTTGCAACCTTTTCAAACAAATGCGCGCGGCGCTGAAACGAGAAGCACATTTTGAAAACGAGCCGCCCTCCATCCGGGAAACTTTTGCAAAAAATAAATCCAATGTGCGCGGCGCTGAGGCGAGAACCATATTTTGAAAACGAGCCAACCTCAATCCGTGAAACTCATGCCGCGTGTTTAACACAAAATGTGCGCGGCGCTGAGGCGAGAGCAACGAGCCGCCCGCCATCCGTGAAACTCTTGCAATGTTTCGAAACGAATGTGCGCAGCGCGGGATGAAGGCGGGAGAACGCGAGCCCCTGTCTCTTCAAAAAGAATAATCAACACCACAGGATGGTTGGGAAAAAGCAGGCCAACGCATCCCGCGAAGCTCTCCAATGTCATATACGATACATGCGGTCCAATTGGAGCATGGGGGTGGGAGAGCTGCTTGCAAGCCTGTCTCACCGAGACTTCGATGTCTGTACTTTTTGTAGTGCGCGCGGTGCGTGCGTGATAGGCGACGTTGCTGGATATGTCAGGTTTGTACTCATCCTGCTGCTTCTGCTGCTGGTGTTCCTCCCGTCGGCGGGCCGCGCAGAGGGGTGTCACTGTGCAAACGTCCCGCTGTGCGGCGGTGTCGCGGTGACGGCGGGGTGGCATCGCCGTGTCCGCTGTCGCGTCGAGAGGTGGTGCCGCGGCGTGGCGGCGCCACGACGTGAGCGGGGCAGGATGCCGCGGCGCGACGCCGCGCTGCCGCCGTGCCGTGGTGCCGCCGCGCCGTGCTTCCGCTGTGCCGCGGCGTCGCGTCCCTCTGGGTCGGCACGCCCCGCCTCCCCCCCATCCCTCCCCCCTCCCTCCCCCCCCTTCCAGGAAAAGCGAGAAGTGCGCCCCCCCTCACGAGGCAGGGGCCACGTCCCGTGTGCCCGCGGCGCACGCAGACCAGTACCGAGGCCGTCCACTGACGCACTTCTGCTCCCGCCGCCGCCCCCTCCTCCGCCCTGGAATCCTCCCCTCCCTCCACAATTATACCATTTGAATGCTCCTCTCCTCTCTCCCCGGATGACGTTCGGAAGATATCTGGCCTCCCTCCGTGCACATGTTTGTTGTACACAAGGTTCTGGGGAGATGGGTTTTCGCTTGAGTTGTTTCAACATGTTGCTCCCGCTGAAGCGCTGGCCTCATGTTCGGCCTTTCGCGCTCGTTCCGAATCGTGCTTCCGCTGCAGCGCTGGCCTCATTTCCGCGCTTCCGCTCGTTCCGAATCGTGCCCCCGCTGCAGCGCTGGCCTCATTACTTCCAGTGCCATGCCACGGCATGGTGTTCGGTCCTTCCGAACAGGCCCCAAAATCTAGAAAATGGCCTTCCGAAAAAAGCATCGGAGGTGACTACACGTTCGGTGTCGATTCGTTCATTTTTTGGAACGCAGAACCCCCTCCAACTTTGGCGCGTCGCCACGACATGCTATGTCATGATGCTACGCTTTGACATTCAACACCATGCTATGCCATGTAGTGCAAAGCCATGCTACGACATCCGATTGTGCGAATAGAGAGGAGATCTACGCCACGGTAAGGGATGGGAGGGAGGGGTAGGACGTCAGATATGACGCGAGCGCCCCTAGCTTGCCTCCCCTCCCCCCCTCCCTTCCCTCCCTCCCCTTCCCTCCCATCCCCTTCCCTCCCCTCCCCCATCCGCTCTGGATCCACCCCCCCTTCACCACCGCCCCGACCTCCGACGGCCTCGTGTTCTCGAGCCTCGGGGCCTCTCGACCCCCTCCCCGGGACCAGGCTGTGGCCCCGAGGCGGTGCTTGACAGCCCTGGGTGCCCGAGAAGAGGCTCCTGGCGCCAGAAACGGCGACAGAGCCTCGGACTCGAGGTAAGTTCGAGTCCCTGGAGGTCCTGCTTTCACACACACACACACACACACACACACACACACACACACACACACACACACACACGCACGCACGCACGCACGCACGCACGCACGCACGCACGCACGCTCGCACGCACGCACGCACGCACGCACGCACGCTCGCACGCACGCACGCACGCGCGCGCGCACAACTTTGGCGTCGTCGCGGCCCTGCGCGCGGCGACAGGCCGTAGAAGATTGGAAAAAAGTGAGGCGCGCGCGTCTAGGCTCGCCCGAGCAGTCAGTGACCACCCAGAGCCACGCAACAGCCGGCAGCCATAACCATCGGGGCATGGATGGCGGGGGGGAGCAGTGAATAGACGGGTGTACGGTGAGGTGGAGGGCGACATAAGCTAACCGCACACGCGCACACACTCACTCACGCGCCTCCCGGTCGACGGGGCGTGAGACTCGGGCTCAGGGAATTCGGACAATGACGAGACCCAGTCTGAGATCTGGCGCGAGATTCCGCTTCGAAGCAGTCCACGAAAAACTGGACCGTCACAATTCAAGGATGGGCCCGTCGGAAGGCATCGGCGCACCCGAGCTCCGACGAACTCAAGCCTGCGGTTCTCGGGCGTTGACGTTCTGGGGTCCTGGCTGTACCCGAGGTTCCCCCACCCTGGTGCCGCACGCGGGCGCGGCGGGGGGGGGGTCCCAGGCTCGGCACGATGGCGCTCTGGGCCACCTGCGTCGCGGCGAGGCCGCCGAAGCCGCAGACCTTCAGCGGCAGCGCCAGGCTGGCCTCGGGCGGAGGGGGGGAGCGGGAGGTCTGGGGCGGACACGGCGAGGGGGGCAAATCACTGCGGCACCGTGAAAAAGGAAAGGCTGTCCTTCGCAAGCCTCGGTGTTAGAGCATCCGAGCCTAGTGGCTCGGACGGGAAGGGCAGGCGGCGGGCAAAGGCGTCGCGGCACTCCGCACGCCTGATCTCGAGAGAACTGCGGCAAGGGGGGCCCTCCGCTTGCCTCCTGTAAGAAGGCGGCCTTTTCGCTGGCAGCGACGTGCTGTCATTCCGGCCGACCGACTCCCAGGTAAAAGAGGAGCCTAGGCGAAGGGGGACAGAGAGGAGAGAGGACAAGACAGGACAGGACAGGACGGACGGACGGACGCCACCTCAGCGAAGCTGTCCCGTCGAAGACAGGACAGAAAATGCACAAACATACGGTTCAAAAACGTGCCAAGCGAGAGACGACACAAACAACCGTCCGTGCCTGTGCTGCACAAGTTTGACGTGTGGGCAAAGCTGCACCGATGTGTCAAGCAAAATATGCATGTTGAAAAAGGCGCCGCCCTGACTCCGCGTTGCTGCTGCACCTACGTTGCTGCCGCGGCGACAAATTCGCCTCCACCAGCCGCAGCACCGTCCGCGGTCTTCCGTTTATCGGCAGAAAACGCCTTGGCCGCTGCTCGTAAAACCACCGACCCCGTGGGCCATGTTTCCTCACTGTCTCCCAGAATTCGCGTCTTGAGCGAAGTGATATCCGAATGAAGGTGTTGCAATTGTTTGTTTAACGGGTATCGCGCTCTATCTCTTCAACATGCGTGAACACTGTACCAACTCAAAAAAATGTTAACAAGGACTGCAAACTACAATATCTTTGCAGGTGGACCATGTCTCACTTACTCCGCCAAGTTTGGCCAGCGACTGCATCGCGTTCCGTGTGACCATGGGCGGGCTGTGCCTAATACATTGCTGCAAAATGGGTTTCGCACATGCTGCTGAGATGACAACGTTTCTGGCCGCCTCGCTACGCTTGCAATCTGCAACTTCCCACGCTCCAACTGATGTGCCAACCGTTTCTGCTGCGCTGCGCAAGTAATCGGTCCATGCGTCACCGCAGCTTGGTTGGACTTCTTCCGATCAAGCTGGTGCTACTGCAGCTTCTGCTGCTGCTGCTGCTCCTGAGGCACTACCTTGAGCTTCTGTCGTGTGGCCTTGATGAGCTGCTCCACCGCATCAATACCCGATGCCACTTTGGCCAAGCTGATAGGACCCTGCTGGTGCTGCTGCCCTGACTGGTACCATAGCCTGTTTGGAATGTCATGGGGGTTCGTCTGTCAATGTGGGCACAGCCTACGGCCCATCGTCAAACACAGATGCCATTCGGATCGTGCGCACTTATGGCAACGTCAAGTTGACCCTCCCGATATGCTGGCGACTTGTCATACCCGGTACCCATTCATTCGCATTCGCATTCGCATTCGCACTCTCACTCTCATCAAGACATGGTCCTTGCCTCCATGGGCCGGAGCGTGGAGGTCGTAACTTCGATATGCGTACACGTGCTCGGGAAAACAAAGGCCAGACAAAACTAGCGTGCTTCCCTGCTGGAGTTGGTTCCGGCGCCGGTGTCGGTTGGTGTCGTGTTGGCAGGTGCCTTGGTCGTCTTGTTAGGGTGCTGGGCTCCCGTCGATGAGATGAAGTCGGACTCCATGCTCATCCAGGTGGTTGTGTCGAAGGCTACGTGGATCCACATAATATCATTCATGGCGTCACTCGAACCGTCCTTCGCGCACGTAGTCGTTATCGGCTGTCGGATGTAGTCGTGTACTTCGTCCGCCCACCGTTTCGGTTGTCGACCTTGTTGGCGCTGTCCTCGTTGTCCCGCAACGAGACCAGGATGCCAGTGAGCAGCTTGTTGAGTCCATCGCGTGGCGCTGTGACGGGCGATTGTGTGGGCCTGTCTCCACTCAAGCCGTCGCTGTTCCGTGAGCCATGGCTCCATGTCCTGTAGGTCAATCAAATCATTCGCTCTGTGTGTTGCGCGGCGGATGAACACGAGCCACGGCTCTAAGATCATTCCACCATTCAGACCCAATTAAGGACTGGTTAAAACTACGATCATTCTAATCACTTGCTCGAGTCACCGCACTGCGCGGCCTGATCTGCCAGGGCTGTGCATAGAGTGCTGTTCCTGCTCCTGCTGCTCCTGGGCTACACCTTCCAAGAGCAAGCTCAGGGGGATAGAGAGACACAAACGTACATCAGGCTTCTTGGGGTACACGACGCTTGGGATACTCACTGCACGAATTACGTGGGCTGGACACTGCATATGCTCCGCACTTCCTGCAAGCAATGAGGGAACTCTCTCCTGTCTCAAAATCCGCCGCAACTGGCGTGTGACCGTGGGCTATCTGCAGCGAAGGTCTTGAGAGAGGAGATGCCAGTGCAATGAGCATGGCATCTTTCCGTGCTTCCGAAAAGGCCCTCGTACTACAGCGCTTCCAAACCCATCCGCCTCGGCTCCAAGTTCACTCATGCACCATATGACCCCCAGGCACCGCAAGAAGGCGGGGAGGGGGAGCCACGGGCTTGGAGCCAGGGGCGGATGCAGCCCCGAATGGGGGATGATTTGACTGGTGAGGTTTGATCAGAGCTTTCCCCCAGGCTTGAAGGCAACATAATGCTACTCTTGTCGATGGCACAGGATCCGTGCCAATGTAGTTTCACTTGTCATGAGATGTGTTGCAAGAAGGCAATGCAGTGTACGACTTGTGCTGATTTGATGTCCGTGTGCTGACGCACACGTGAGCTCGCACCGACGCCATTGTTGGTCAAATACCGAGGGGCCCCTGAGTCAATCAGACCTACGAGCGAATGTCTTCGATTCCCTTCTATTTCATATGTTGTGCGTTTGGTTCCCTACTTCGTGTGAGAACCTCGGTGGCTCCACAGGAGTGCTACCGACATTGGTAGCAAAACCAGTGGCTCCAGATCCGCGGCAAAAAGAATCGGAGACCTCGCTCGTGGGTAACCGCATTCACAGAGCAGAAGACGAGATCTTCCGGCTCCGGCGGCCCTCGACCCGCAGGCAAGGGCAAGGGCAAGCAGCAGCCAGCAGACGAGGCCGGTGACGGCACAGCGGATCAGCCTGGAGGAGGAGTTCGGCTCGATGAGGGCGACACGGACAGCGATCTTCGGGACGGAGGCCGAGACCACGGTCAAGGCAGGGGCAACGGTGAGAGGCAGCCGCAGATGGACGCAGGATTGGCGACGTGCTGCCCGACGCGACGGACTTACGGCACGACACGTATCGCAACTTCAGGAGGAGAGCGACGGTGTTCCAGCGACCGAGTCAACGCCGAGGCGACACGGTGGTGAGTGAGGGCGCATGCCTCCTATTGCAAGCGCTGCAGGGCGATGCCTGGCACGCCTGCGAGAGCATCAGCTTCGAGAGCATAAGCACGAACGAGGCATTCGATGAGATGTTTGGTAAGCTGGACGTACTGTATAAATATACGCAGGAGGTGGAGTTGCCGGGAAGATGTGACGCGTTAGTTGGAGAGGTTTCGAGGTTGCCGAAGGAGACCTTGAACGCGTACGGGCTTCGGCACGGTCAGGAGCTGTCGAAGCTACGCAAAGCGGAGCTGGACCTGCTGGACCTACTGGCGGGCTGGCAAATGATGACGAGATCGGCGATTCCACGATGGCAGATTCCAAATCTAAAGGCGTTGTGCAACAACAAGCTCACGGTGCAGGTTGTGACGGAATCTCTTAAGACGATGTTCGGTGGCGATAGTACGGCACATAAGAAGGATATCGAGCGAGTGACGAAGACGTACCGAGGCAAAAGCTACGGAGGCGGCGACAGCTATTGGGCAGAGGAGGATGACGACGACGCCTATTGGTACGAACGTGACGCCACTGAGGACCTGTACTACGAGAACAATGACTGGTACGAGGACGACGAGGAGCCGATGCCACAGGAGCTCGAGGACGCATACGAAGCGACGGAGGAGGCCTTCGCGATCTACACGGAGGCCAAAGCGAAGATGCGAGAGCTGGCGACGGCGAGAGGATTTTAACCTGTGGTGGCGCTCATGGACGACCGACGAGGACTGCCACCACCACTAGCCCGCCTCATGCGGCCACCGAAAGGAAGAGGACGAGCGAACTCGGGATACGGAGAGTCACGAGGAAGTTCAAGCAAAGGAAAGGCGAAGGGCAGATACGGCGGCAGAGCACCATATAGAGGCAGAGGTGAAGCCAAGGGTGGACGACACCCAGACGGCTCGCCTAAGATGACGACGGCAGGAGCTACTCAGCGGCACGGACCACGGTTCAAGCGACGAAGAGATGGTGCAGCGGCCGATGGACCAGAAGACGCAAAGATGCTGTACGAGATCCGCGGCGACATGACGATGACGGAGATTGCACCGAGCCCCGAGACGGCGACGACGGAAGAAGTGAACTTGGATACGGGCAAAGGTGTCGGCGACAGTTGGGCAACGAAACCGATGATGGGTCTCGAGGAGTGGCCTGCATGGCATAAGAAGTTCCAGAAGATGGGCCTCTCCAGCGAGATCAAGATGGCTAAATGCCACAAAACATTCAGATCCGGCAACGACGAGACCGCGACGGCGAAGCAGCAGGTGACCCTCCCGGTTTGGGTAAGGAACGCGAAGAGGCAGCTATCGGTCTACCTCGTGCCAGGCCAAGTGTCTCTGCTGGTGGCGAGGCCCGGTCTTGAGGAGTGGGGCATGGTGATCGACTACCGCAACAAGAAGGTGATGTATCTAGACGAGCAGCCCCCAGAGTGGATCGACCTCGAGACGAACGATAAAGGACACATGATTATCGATCTGCTCAGCTTCCAGGCAGACTTGCTAGCAGCAGACGAGCAGTCGAGCTCTACGGACGCGGACACCGACGGCGACGACAAGGTGGAGAAAGAGAGAGAGAGAGAGAGAGAGAGAAAAAAAAAAAAAAAAAAAAAAAAATGACTTTTTCATGACCAGCAGCT